TCACAGAAACCTGGCTCCCTCAGGACTATACTACACCCCTGGCAACCCTCTCCAATGATACATAATCCTCTCATGCCCCGGTACAATAGGCCAAGAGGAAGAATAGACACATTTCTTGCTCCTCGCTGCCACTTCCAGATGGTTCTTTGGCCACAATCAGTGACCTCCTTCGAGGTTTACTCTGCCTTTGGTTCTGTTTAATCTGACACATAATTCAAACCCAATGTACTATATACTCTGGCCTTGGATCCCAGAATTTCAGCATCCAATGTATACCTGAAAGAGCCACAGTAACTTGAGGTTCATGTTTGTGTGATCAGAATAATAGTGGGCCCCTTAGAAGAAATAAGGAAGCTTGGAGGAGGGGTAGGTTGCAGAAGGAAAACAAACAAGTTCTATTTTGGACACATCTAGTTTGAGCCATCTAGGTAGAGATCTCTACAGGGCAGTGAATGATGTGTGATTGGAGTTCAGAAGAGATACTAGGGCTGGATATGGATATTTGGGAATTATTAATTATTGGGAATTAATTATTGGGGAATGTATTAATTATTAATTATATTAAGGATCTGAGGACCTAGAGGGTCACACGTGACCTCGAGGCCTCAGGTTCCCCACTCCTGCCTTATCCCTCTGTCCAGCAGCCACCAGGCCCCACAAAGAGCCAAGAGCCACATGCAGGGTTTCTTCTGAGGCTGCACCATCCTCTATCACCTTGGGATAAGGCAAAGGAACTGGCATCAGTTCAGTCAGACCTCTTGAGACCCGATCACCAGATATTTACCAACCCTGCATGACCCAACCCACTCTCCTTGCTGGATCAAACCATTTCTCCCTGTTGTTTGGGAGAGTAGTCTGACCACACTCCATCCTGACCAGGGCCCTGGAGGGTGGGACCTCTAGCCAGCTGCTGTTTCCCACCTCCCCTTGTCCGAGTGTCTGATTCAAATATGCCATCTATTAAGGGAATGGCATCCCTTTCCTCTACTCCCACTCCACACACTCTCATCCCTAATGCCCATGAGTCCTGTATTGCCTCTAACCTCTTCTTCTATTGTTCCCTATGGGATTCTTATTTTATCATGAATAAACTTCTCTTCATCCTAGACCTCTTCTTCTTATATTCTATCTCCTGACACTCACAGAAACCTGGCTCCCTCAGGACTATACTACACCCCTGGCAACCCTCTCCAATGATACATAATCCTCTCATGCCCCGGTACAATAGGCCAAGAGGAAGAAGAGACACATTTCTTGCTCCTCGCTGCCACTTCCAGATGGTTCTTTGGCCACAATCAGTGACCTCCTTCGAGGTTTACTCTGCCTTTGGTTCTGTTTACTCTGACACATAATTCAAACCCAATGTACTATATACTCTGGCCTTGGATCCCAGAATTTCAGCATCCAATGCATACCTGAAAAAAGATCCCCTCAACATACCTGACATCATTCCCCTTCAGATACTCTACATGCTAGCCAAACTGGCTAACCTCCTACTCATGCTCTTGATAACATCCCCTCCTATCTGCACTGAGACTCTGACCACTACATCACTCACTCTCATCTTCCTCCTCTATCTCCTGGCTCCTTTCTGACCACCTATCAACATGCCCAGGTCTCTCCCTTCCTTGAAAACCCTTCACTTAGTCCTGCCACCTCAAGCTATCTTCTTGTACCTCTTCTCTCTTTTGCAGTCTAGTCTCCATCTCTTTACCTGCCACTCACCTTTCAACCCCTTGTTCCCTGGGTTCCTGACCCTACTACTTAATAAACTGTTTTCACCAACGTTACCAATGACCTCAAATGCTAAAATCTGATGGCCTGTTCTCAATTCTCTTTCGCCTTTGAATTCTGTAAAGTTTTTATGACTGCCAGCCACCTTCTCCTAGATCAGGGGTGGGAAACTTTGGCTTCTTCCATACTGCTCTCTCCTGATTCTTCTCTTACCTAACACACTCTGAGTTTCCACTGCTAGATAGCCATCCATCCCCTGTCCACGAATAGTCAGTATTCACCAAGGTTCTACCCTGTGCCTTCTCCATCTATAATCTCTCATCAAGCCTGGCAGCTCCCACAGACAGGACCATCTCTATGTAGATAATTCCCAAATATCCATATCCAGCCCTAGTATCTCTTCTGAACTCCAATCACACATCATTCACTGCCATGTAGAGATCTCTACCTAGATGCCTCAAACTAGATGTGTCCAAAATAGAACTTGTTTGTTTTCCTTCTGCAACCTACCCCTCCTCCAAGCTTCCCTCTTCTAAGGGGCCCATCATTATTCTGATCACACAAACATGAACCTCAAGTTACTGTGACTCTTTCTTGTCCTCAGATCTTTTTGTCTCTACCTCCACATTTCTCAAATCAGTCTCTTCTCCACTCACAGGCTACCATTACAAGTCAGGCTCTCATTCATCACCTCTAGCCTGGTTTATTATAACAGTCTCCCAAATTCCAGTCCTTCCCTTCTCAGAAATAAAAAAAAGTCTTTAATTTGGCTTTTAAGGGCCCCGTAGAACAAAAATATGACAGTCAGCATGTCTTGATATATAGAAAGCTAACACAGAGTCAAGAATATCTTTGTTCAAGTATGGCCTCTGATACACACTGGCCGTGTGACCTTGGATAAGTTATTTAAACCCTCAGTACCCCAGTCAACTAAAATTATATTATAAATTGCTGAACAGTTTTCAGTCTGAATTGATAGGTATTTCTTATATCAGTAAAATTACAGGTTAAGGGGCAGCTAGGTGGTGCAGTTGATAGAGCACTAGCCCTGGATTCAGGAGGACCTGAGTTCAAATCAGGCCTCAGACACATAACACTTACTAGCTGTGTGACCCTGGGCAAGTCACTTAACCCCATTGCCTAGCCCCCCCCCCCAAAAAGAAAAAAAAATTACAGGTTAAAAAAAACTAAAAATCAAATGTATATTTGGGAATAATGCTTCCTTTTCAAAGAATAAAATCTGGACTGAAATCTAGTGCCTGGTTCAAAGAACCTAGTAACTACTCACAATCCTCTGAGCAATTCAAGGGAGGATATTTTCCCCAGGTGCAATCAAGAGAAATGGTTACTTAATAAACGTTTGTTGAATTTTACTGAAGATTAAGATAAGGCCCTAGGCGTAAGATAAACTCAAAAGGGTGCACTTTTCAGAAGTGGGGATTTTTATAGCAGAAACAAGGATTTATGTTGAGCCCTTAGTTGTTCAGTTAAAAGCATTTTAGAATGACTACAGCCCTGGAGATGCAACTATAGATATACTTTCCCCTTTATCTTACCAATCTTATGAAAGCTATCTTCAAATATTTATAAGAGGCTGTCAGGTTGAAAAAATATTAGACTTGTGCTGTGTGGCTTCTGAAAATAGAACTAGAATAAATGGGGAGAAGTTAAATCAATATAAGGCAAAACTTTCTAACAATTAGAGCTGTTCAACTACGGCTTTCTAGGCAGTAAATTTCCCACCATTCACTGAAGATGCTCAATTGAAGCACAGAGAGAATATCTGCATGGGGTGGGAAGTTGGATTCAAAAGTTCTGAGATTCTATATACTGGACTTGAAATTCAGGAGATTAAGTACCAAGAAATGTGGCAAAAGGTAGGGTCTTGGGACTCAGCACTGGTATTGGTAGAGTAAGGATAAAGGTTGTACTTAAAATGGGAACATCTGGGAACATCGAAGAAAGAAAAGAAAACAAGAACAAAACACTGCAACAGGGTGAACAATGAGCCTGGGCAGATCTGGGAGTGGAAAGAGCTTAGGAAGGAATGGTTGCCAATAAAACAAAACTCTGTATGGGGAGAGGCAGCTTGGTGCTGGGGGAAATGTTGGATTTGGAGTCAGAGGAGTTGGGCTGGAACCCAGGCTCCAACACTTATTAGTTGAGACGTAGCCTCTGGGCCTTGGATTCTTCATCTGTAAATGAGGATGAGGGACTCGGTGATTTTAAGGTCTTTTCCAGTTCTAAATTTATGAATCTAAGCATGTAATATGTGGAAGATGGTTGCTGGGGAGGAGGTAGGCTAACAACTGGGCAATTGCAAAACAGTGAATAGAAAATGAGGGGGTTGGACTAGATGGCCCCTGAAGCTCCTTCCAGCTCTAGATCTAAAATCCTATGGGTGACCTTGGGCAAATCACTTCCCCTTCCTAGGCCTCAGTGTCCTCCCCTGTAAAAATAAGGGGTTGGACTATGGTCTCTAGGGACCCTTTCGGACCTCCATCTATGATCCTAGGTGGGATGTTGAACAAAGGTGGGATAACTTCACCCCCAAGGCCCTCAGTTTCCTCATGCTCCCCTGGACATTTTCCAGCTGGTCAATGTCCTCTTCTCACTGTAGCCTTCAGTATTACAATATTCCCTGGCCTCCACGGTGCCTTCCAGCATCCGATCTCTGATCCCTCCTAGCCATGGATATGCGGACCTATGAGGTACTGGGAGGATGAGGGGCGAGGACAGAAAAGACGCCAGGGCTCTGGCGAGTGAGGAGTTGGGTTGCTAGGAGCAGAGAATGGCAAGGGGCCCACCGTGGGGGAAAGGAACCAAAGGAAAGGAGTGGGGGGTGGTCGGGAGGGAAGGGAGAGACAAAGTGGGGGAGGGGAGGAGCCAAGGTCTCGGGCGATTGAGAGGAGGCGGGGTGGGAAGGGTTCTCCCGGCGTGGGTGTAGAGGAGATTAGGGAGAGGGGGAGGAGCGGAGCAGGTGCCAGGGTCCCAGGAGGGGGGCGGCGGTGCATGGGAGGGGTGGGAGCCGAGACGGGGGGAGATATCGAGGAGGGGGAGAGTCGAGGAGCAGATGCCGAGGTGCTGGGATCCCGGGGAAGGGGGTGCGCATGGGAGGGGCGGGAGCCGAGGGGTGCGGGTGGGGCGAGGAGCAGGTGCCGGGGTCCCGGGGGAAGGGCGGGAATCCAGAAGAGGGAGCTGGGAGGGGGGGCGAGGAGCAGGTGCTAGGGTCCCGGGGAAGGGGGAGGGGGTGGGCGGCGCCATACCTGTTGGTATGGAAGCGGTGCAAGGGGTCGGTGCGGTGGCAGGAGGACAGCTGGCAGCCGAAGTCGCTGACGTCCAGGCAGCCCGACTCCTCGCTGAAGCAGGTGCCCGGGCCGCGCGGGGGCCCCAGCAGAGGGAAGGGCTCGTCGGGCGTCAGGAACTTCTCCGCCAAAGCCGCCGCCGCGGCCCCGTCGTCCGCCATGCTGTCGCTGTCGCTGCCGCTGCCGCTGCCGCTGCTATTGCCGCTGCCGCCGCTCTCTTCTCCAGGCCTGGACAGGCGGGCACCGGCGGCGCTGCTCACAGGCCGCCCGCGAGCATGGGGGAGGGGGCCCAGCGAGGCCCGGGATGCGAGGAGACTGCGACCGCCGCCGCCGCCGCCCAGACAACCCGAGCTGCAGCACTGGCCGCCTCCTCCTCCTCCTCCTCCTTTTTCTCCTCCTCCTTCGCCTCGCCCGACGACGACGACGACGCCGCCACGCCCGCCACAGGCGCTGCTAACTACAGCGGGCGGGCTGCGGGCGCCTGGAGGGGACGCTGCGTGCGCATGCGCGGAGCTCTGCCCCCTGCCGGCCGGGAGGAGGAACTGAGCCCTGCGGCGGCTGGGCAGGCAGGGGAGGTGGCTCAAGGCCAAGGCCAGGTAAATCAACCCCAGGAGGAACCGGAAAATGAGATGATCCCTGACCTCTGGTACTCAAACATACACGGACCGAGCCACCGAAAGAAAAAAAACAAACCACCAGGACTCGGGAGGCTTCGGCCGTTCCGAGGAGAGAGGTATTGCTTTGGTAGGCAGAGGGAAACTTGAACTCTACCTAGAACTTGGAGAACTGAGGGAGGCCGGTCAAGGCTAGAGAATTAATGCAGAGCGGTTAGAAAGAGGAGGAGAAAAGGAGGCTATAATATGTAAGGTCCTTGAAGGCAGCCACGGTTTCCTTTTGGTTTGGTTTGTTTTTTTCTTTGGGATGCCCAGGGCCTGGCACATAGTAGGTACTGACAAAGTTGGTTCACAAACTACCCTGTGAACAAGCGAGTGCCCGTCCCCGTGCCTTCAAACTCACCAGCAATGCCCCTGCCCTCTGCTTCTTTCTGGGAATCCTTCCAGACCCAGTACCCTGAAAGTGCTCCAGTTCACACTGATTATTTCTTTCTCAAGCATTGATCATGGACCTAGAAATCACTCACTCTTTGAGGTAACCAAACATACTGCCTTGCATTCATAGATAAATAAAACTGGAAGGGCATCTTATGGTCCTAGGCTGGTTAGCCTGGCACGACCAGTTCTTAATGAAACCATGCTGGCTCTTTGTCATCACCACTTCCTTTTCTAAGTCATCTAGAGCTGAAAGGAACCTCAAAGGTCATCTTAGCCCCACTCCCTCATTTTATAGAGGAGGAAACTGAGGCCAGAGAGAGGAAGGGACTTGTCCATGTTGGTATCAGAGGTAGGATTTGAACCCAGATTCTCTGACTAGGGGCAGCTAGGTGCCACCATAGTGCATAGAGCACTAGGCCTGGAGTTAGGAAGACCTGAGTTCGAATATGGCTTCAGAAACTTACCAGCTGTGAGACTTTGGGCAAGTCATTTACCCCTATTTGCCTCAGTTTCCTCATCTGTAAAATGAGCTAGAGAAGAAAATGGCAAACCATTCCAGTATCTCTGCCAAGAAAACCCCAAATGGGGACAAGAAGAGTCACACATGACTGAACAACTCTCTGACTCCAGGGCCCGCGTTCTTTCCACAGCTTTATGTTTCCTTAGAAATCTAGCCTCATTTTCCAAAAGGAGAAACTGAGGGCCAGGGAAGTGAGGTAAGGTGCTCAAGGTTACATGGGTAACCTTGCAACAAAGTAACAAAGCCCGAATTTGAATTCAAGTACCCTGACTCCAAAGCTATTCTTTCTACCATGAACAGTTGGATCCTTAATTATTTGATGTCTGCATATCTTATCACTCTACTAGATCAGAAGTGCCTATTCAATTCAACAAATGTTTATTAAATGCCCACTGTGTGTAGATGTTGGGAGTACAAAGACAAAAATGAAACAAGTCTTGGCCTCCAGGAACTTATGTGTTATTGTGGATTATGTTCAATATGTACTCAGAGAAGTAAATATCAACTATTTACAAAGTTATAATTTCAAAAACTAAAAAACACCACCAACTAGGGGTGGGGGCAGGAAAGGCCCCATATGAAAGATAGTATCTCAGCTGTACGTTAGAGGCAGTGAGAGGCTCTGAGAGGCAAGGGGAACACACAGGGGACAGTCTCTACTGTCTAAAGGCCGGGAGATGGAAAATAGAATGTGACCTGTGTTGTGGGAAGAGTAAATAGGCCAATTGGGATATCAACCAACCAACCAATCAATCAATAAGTATTTATAAATTTCCTGCTATGTGTTTGGCACTGGAGAAGGATGTACAGGCATACCTCAATGATATGCAAGTTTGGTTGCAACCACTGCAGTAAAGGAAATACCACAATAATGCGAATCACACACATTTTTTGGTTTCCCAGTGCATATAAAAGTTACACTTACACTATACTGTAGTCTATGAAGTATGTAATAGTATGTCTAAAAACAATATGTGTATACCTTAATTACAAATACTTTTTGGCTAAAAAATGCTAAGCATCATCTGAGCCTTCAGCAAGTCATAATCTTTTTGCTGGTGGAAGGTCTTGCCTCCATGCTGAGTCTGCTGACTGATCAAGGTGGTGATCTGATCAAGGTTACTGAAGGTTGGGGTGACTGTGGCAGTTTCTTAAAATAAGACAAAAATGAAATTTGCCACACTGATTGACTCTTCCTTTCTCTTACACACTTAGAGGCCATTGAGGGTTACTAATTGGTCTTATTTCAGTATTATTGTATCTCAGGAAATGGGGAGGCCCCAAAAAGAGGGAGAGAGACTGTGGGTATAGCAGTCAGAACACATAGAACATTTATCAATTAAGTTCATTGTCTTGTGAGGGCCCAGTTTGTGACATCCCAAAACAACCACAATAGTTAACATCAAAGATCACTCATCACAGATACCATAACAGAATAATAATGAAAACATTCGAAATATTGGCAGAATTACCCAAATGTGACGCAGAAACACGATGTGAGCACATGCTGTAGAAAAAATGCAAATATCTGCAAAGTGCAATAAGGCAAAGCAAAATAAAACAAGGTGTGCGTGTACAAAGAATAGAACAGTCCCTACTCAGGAGGGCTTCACATTCTAATGGGGAAGACAAGTACACATAGAAATATAGTAGCATAAAAATAAAGCTTATACGGAACACACAAATCAGATAAATGGTAATTTGGGACACAAGGCACCAGCACTTGAGGGCATCAGGAAAGGCTTCCTGTAGAAGATAAGGGCCTCATATGTAACATATCAAATTGCTTAGCATCTTCGGGGCAGGGCGTGGAGGAGAAAATTTGGAACTCAAAATTTTATAAAGAAAAATGAATGTTTAAAATTGTCTTTACATGTCATTGGAAAAAATCAAATACAATTTTAAAAAAAAGATAGGTGCCTGATCTGTATCTTAAGAGAAAAGAGGGGCTCTATTAGGCAGACATAAGAAGGGAGTACATTCCAAGCATGGGGCACAGCCAGTGGAAAAGCACTGAGATGGGAAATGGAGTCTCATGCTTGAGGGAATGGAGAGAAAGCCAATTTGACTGGATTGTAGACTTTGGTAGGGAAAAGGTTGGCCAATGAGGCCAGAAAGAGAGGTTGAGGCCAGTTTGTGAAGCATTTTAAAAGCTAAACAAGGGAGTTTCTATTTGATCCTAGAAAGCCACTGGAGCTTATTGAATAGAGGAGTTACATTGTCATATCTGCACTTAAGGAAAATTGTTTCGGCAGCAGTGTGTGTAATATGGACTGAAATGGAGAGAGACTGGAATTTGGGAAATCAATTAGAAGGCCATTGCAATAATCTAGGATAGAGAGGTGACAAAGGCCTGAACTAAGGTGGTAGCTCTGTGAATGGAGATAAAGGGTTAGTTTGGAGAGATGTTATACAGGTAGATACAAGATTTGGTGATTGGATTGGATTGGATATGTGGGGTGAGGGAGAGTGAGGAGGCTGGGTTAATACCAAGATGACAAACCTGAGACATTGAAAGGATGGTTGTTGCCTTTGGCAGATATTGGGAAATTTAGAAGAGGGGAGGGTTGGGGAAAAGAAAATTAGTTCGGTTTTAGAGATGATTAAGGCTTAAGGCATACAATCTGAAATGTCCAATAGGCAGTCGGTGATGCTGGATTGAAGCTGGGAAGGGGGGTTGAGACTGGGGCTGGATATATTCTTTCTTTTTGGGTTTATTTTATTTTTTTCTTTTTAACATGTGTTTTTAAAACTTTGGGTTACAAATTTTCTCCCTTCTTCCCTCCCCACCCACCCTCATTGAAAAGGCAAGCATCTCAATACAGGTTATAGATGTGTAGTCATGCAAAACACTTCCATAGTAGTCATGTTGTGAAAAACTAAGTATTTTTCCCTTCGTCCTATCCTACCCCCTATTTATTCTATTCTCTCTTTTGACCCTGTCCCTCCTCAAAAGTGTTTGCTTTTGATTATCCCCTCCCCCAATCTGCCCTCCCCTCTATCAACCCCCTGGCTCTCTTGGCCCCTTCCCCCCTTATTTTCCTGTAGGGTAAGATAGATTTCCATACCCCATTGTGTATGTTATTCCCTCCTTAAGCCAAATCCTATGAGAATAAGATTCACTCATTCCCTCTCACCTTTCCCCATTTCCCCTTCACTGTAAAAGCCTTTTCTTGTCTATTTCATGTGAGATAATTTACCCCATTCTACTTCTCCCTTTCTCTTTCTCCCAGGATAATCCTCTCTCACCCCTTAATTTTATTTTCCACATATCACCCCTTCATCTTCAACTCACCCTGTGCCCTCTATCTATCTATCTATACATACATATAATTTTTTCCCTCCCACTACCCTAATACTGACAAAGGACTCATGAGTTACAAATATCTTTTCCTGCAGGAATGTAAACAGTTCAACCTTAACAAGTCTCTTATGATTTCTCTTTCCTGTTTACCTCTTCCATGTTTCACTTGAGTCTTGTATTTGAAAGTCAAATTTTCTATTCAGCTCTGGTCTTTTCCTCAGGAATTCTTGAAAGTCCCCTATTTCATTGAATCACAATTTTTTCCCCTGAAGGATTATACTCAGT